AAAAATGTAGTTGCTAAGGATTCATCTAATCAACTCCAAATTGATTAAGATCAATACTTAATTCATTTGAATTCTTGATCTATTAGCAATTTTCATCAAAATCGCATGCAGTTTCAACAAAATTGATATTACTAGAAGGAGAATATTTGCCTAAAAACAATAAAATTATCTAGTAAATGCTTTCATCTTTACAATTTCATTAGGGAAGAATTTCAAACATTTTGTGATCACATTGTGAGATATTATCATTAGTACAATATTGTTGATCTTTTCTTTTGTTCAAACCTGTCATAAGCAGGCCTGGTTCATAAGAATAGCAGTAAACTTGAGGCTAATCCCAGGATAGAAATGCATCCCCACAACACAAAAGTCAAGCCATAGCATTTTCTTCCCATACACACCAATGAATCACCCATTAGGCCTAAACTAAACTCGGCATGGGAATCGTAAACAACAACAGATAGAACACCATAGACAAGTGATCCGATGGGGATATTTGTGATGAGAATGTTGTGGTTGACACCCACACTATTGGGGCCGAAAAGCTCAGATGTTACTGAAACCGCAGCAGCAAATATAAATCCCGAGGTTAGTCCTACTAGGGCGGTGCCAACATGAACTGCAGCCTCCCCACTATTCACGGTAAGCAAGAAATAGGCCATTGGCATTGGCAGAAGGGCTATGGCCAGCCATCCGGTCCGCGCAAAGTATAGCTTCCTTCACATGTACCTCATCAATTTTACAGGTACTTCCGAGAGCAATTCAATTGATCTATTTTCTTAAAGATGGGATTCGGGACTTATAAACAATTTAATTTCCTGGTTAGAGGATATTCTCATATTCTTTTGTATATAATTTGTGACAGGAAGCCACATTTTAGTCAAATGCCTAGCGAAAAACTCTTATGTTCCTTTCATTATAGTATTTTTGAACAAGTTCCTAGATAACAAGCCTAAAGGTTAGGGCAAATACAGCCATAGTAACTAGGATGGATATCTTGTATCCGAAAACTAGCAATTCACCCTGGAAATTTAAGGTCAATATGAAATATAGTTTCAGTCTGTTCACTTACGTTCGAATGAAGTCTGGTGCAGCTGAAAGCAAGCGCCCGAAGAAAGAGAACGAAGAATACGTTGTAATGAGCCTTGAAGTCATTGAATAATATCCAAGTGATTGAGCTATCTGCCCGAGATTATTATTGTACACTAGCCCAATTGTGCCTCCACAGAGATAAGCAAGATAGTATAGCCAAAAATCAACCCTACGAAGGAGGATTGGCGCCTTATGATCTTCCCCGAGCACCGTCAAACAATCCTTCTTCATTACAGTCTCACAGGAACACCCTTCACTAGTTCCCGTGTTTTGTCTAGATACTATACAAACTGTACTATCGTCTACATTATTCTCTTGACTCAGGAGCTCTTTATGAAATTCATGATCATCGGCATCAACAAGGATAAAAC